CACAAAAGAAGGTATTTAAATAATTTTAAAAAGATAATTCTTAGAAGTGAATTAATTAGGTTAATTCAATTAATTTCTTTACTCTTTTTCTTTTACCTTTATATGCAACTAAAAGGAAAATACAAATATATAGACCCTCGTGCATTCTGGAGACCAAATATGCACGAACATGTTTGGAACATTTTAGTAATGCGAGCTACAGATAGGCTACAAAGATTTTTTAATTCGGTGGCTACAAAATCATTTCCCGCAAAACGAGATCGAGTTTTATTACGCGTTCTTCCTGGTACCTCTCCAAAATTAATAACGAGTAACGATATAAATAACGATATAATAACGAATAACAATAATGATTCAATTCCTTTTTCATATAAGATTAAAGGTGTGAGTTTAAATGATAAAGATAATGAAGACGGTAATCAAAGATTTTATATAGATAATGAAAATCCGATAGATGGATTGCAATGTGTGTTCGTTCTTGAACACGATGAAATTTTATGCAATGATCATGAACCAAAAAATAATGGTGCAAATAATGAGAAAAACTCTTCAATGCCATCAGAGGAAAAAATAAATTCACTGACAAAACAAAAGCAACAATATCAAGAAATATATTCGCAAATACCGCCAAAACCATTTGGGACAATACATCCTGTGACTTTTCTTGGAAAAAACAATAAAAAGTTTACGCAAAATGTACCATTTTATAATGTCCAATATATTTGGGGTAGCAGAGGTGTTGGAAGATTTAAAGGATTTTTGAAAATTCCCAAATACGAGAATCCAATGTTGGGAATGATAACTCATAGACACACTAAACAGTTGGCTATTTCTTTGTGGAAGTTAAGAGGATTTGTCATATAACTTTGTACAAACCTAAGAACCCATTTTTCTGAATGTAAATTGCTTGGGCTTTTGACAAATTGGACCAATAGATTTTGGACATATATTGAGTCAAATATTTCGGAATATTGTTTAGAATTTAATCATATTGTTATAAAAATCAAATAACTTATTTCTTTGACCTATTTATAGTAGTACAACTATAAGCTCAATCGAAACCCACTAACTCTATTTCATATTAACCTATGATTTAAATTGAAATAGGCATTTACCGATTAATTGGGCGATAAATAATTTATTCATCTTCTGTTGTAGAGACAAAGTATTTAAATAGATAAATTAGTATTCTTATCTTATAGGGTAGTAAATCAACTTTATTAAATACACACGTGAATTTTCATCATCAGAAATCGAAAATTGGTATTTCCTAGATCCTAAAAATTAAAAAAATAATCAAAATTTTATTGATTAATTAAAACTAGATATAACAAGTGTAGATACCAGAAATTTTTAGCAATTTTGTAGATAAAGAATTAATTGGCTTAGAAAGGTTTTTAAAGCTAAGCAGTTTACTTGTAAGTTTATCTTTAGGAAAAATTGGCAATTCGGTTGATAACGTTGGAATGATTGAATTTGCAACCTGGAATGACTTTAATATTGCTAATTCATTTTTATCCTCAATAAAACCTTTACCAATCCTATAAACTTTGTTTACAGTACCATCATCTACTACATTATACCATCTTGATAATTCTTCATGGACATCGGGTGCAATTGGTCTATTAAGAGGATTAGCATCCATACATTGATTTGCTAATTGGATATAGCACTCAGGAGTGTCTTTAGCAAATTCAGGACGTAATCCATTACATATTTGAATAGCTAATATTTCATCATACTCAAAATCATAATGAGGAGGTCTTCCCGTAGACATCTCAGTCATAATGACACCAAAACTATAAATGTCGGAAGCTGTTGTATATAGTTGTTGATTTAACACTTCTGGCGCAACATAAGGTAAAACTCCATAAATACCACCTTCTAAATCATCATCCTTCTTTCTAGATAATCCTAGATATGCAATATAAGATATTAGATCTCCATTAATATATTGACTTTGTAGTAGATTATCACTATGGAAATCTCCATGAACAAATTCTGCTTTGTGTACTTTTATTAAATTTTTAGATATATCTACAAGCTGCTTTAATTTACTTTTCCAATTAAGTTGTTTAAAATTTGAAGATAGGAAATTACGAAGACATCCTCTATTGGCATATTGAAATACCATCAAATATTCATTATTAGTTGTATTTTGAGTTAGTCCATATACTTCAAGATTATTACCCACTAATCTACATTCTGTGTAACTTTTAAACTTGTTAAAATAAAATTTATAATGTTAATTTATATATAATTTATCTATATTTGATTTAAGTAAATCATTTTGACTTACTTCTCTTAAAAAGTTCTTTTGTGAACCAGGTAAAGTTTTAAGTGCAACTACACATGATGGTGTGCGTGATTGTATAGATTCATAATCATCATCTGAAACTATTCTTTTACCATCTAACCACGTTGCTGAAAACACTGAGCCAAATCCTCCTTTACCAATCATTTGAATATCATCTAATTTATTAAAAGGAATCCATTCGATTACATTCTCATATTTTGTGGCTTTAAGCTGAAATTCCTTAATACAATTGTCGATATCCCCATTTCCACTTGTCCATCCTTGTGTTATATCGGTCGCAATTTGCACATTTTCCATATTCAGAACTTCTTTCAAAACCAAATTCATCAAATACTAGCATATATTCATTCGTAATTATGTTTTGGGTTAGTCCATAAACTTTAAACACATTAAACTGTACATAATCTACAAACTTATTAAACATGTAAACATAAGTTAAAATAATGCTATGGTGTATATAAATTATGCAGTATCAATAATTTATTAAATATTAACTTACTTCTTTTAATATATCTAATAAATTTTGTGATCCAGTTAGTATTTTAAGGTCCACTTTATACAATGATATACGTGACTGTGTATATTTGTCATAATATCCAACTTTATTTGGATATCGTATTCCATCGAACCAGGTTGCTAAAAATCTATCTCCAATATTCTGAATGTTAACTAATCTATTAAAAGGAATCCATTCGATCACATTGTCATATTTCGTAGCTTTAAGTTGAAATTCTTTAATGCAATTATCGACTTCTTTATTTCCACTTGTCCATCCTTGTGTTGTCTTCTGAGGGTCACATGTTTGGCACCAAGCTGACGATGTGTTATATCGCTTGCAATTTGCACATTTTCCATATTCAAAACTTCTTTCAAAACCAAACTCATTAAATACTAACATATATTCATTCGTAATTATGTTTTGAGTTAGTCCATAAACTTTAAACATATTATTCTTTAACTGCACATAATCTACAAACTTATTAAACATGTAAACATAAGTTAAAATAATGCTATGGTGTATATAAATTATGCTATATCAATAATTTATTAAATATTAACCTACTTCTTTTAATATATCTAATAAATTTTGTGATCCAGTTAGTATTTTAAGTTCCACTTTATATGATGGTGACTGCGTATATTTATCTTCATAATTATCTTTTGCATATCGTATTCCATCTAACCAAGTTGCAAAAAATCTATTACCAATATTCTGAATATTAACTAAACTATTAAAAGAAATCCATTCGATTACATCTTCGTATTTCGTAACTTTAAGTTGAATTTCTTTAATACAATTATCGATATCCCTATTGCCACTTGTCCATCCTTGTGCTATCGCCTGAGGGTCACACGTTCGACACCATGCTTCAGACGTATTATATCGTTTGCAATTTGCACACTTTCCATACCATATATATCTTCTAAATTCATCAAATACTATCATATATTCGTTTGTAGTTGTGTTTTGAGTTAGTCATATATTTCAAGATTACTATTTACCAACTGTATACAATCTACAAACTTATTAAACACGTAAATATAAATTAAAATAAAGCTACGGTGTATTTGTTGTGTAATATCGATCATTTACTAAATAGTTAACTTACATCTTTTAACATATCTAATAAATTTTGTGATCTAGTTAATGTTTTAAGCTCCACTTTATATGATGGCATACGTGACTGTGTATATTTTTCTTTATAATTGTATTTTGCACATCGTATTCCATCTAACCAAGTTGCTAAAAATTTATCACCATTCTTTTGAATATTAACTAATCTATTAAAAGGAATCCATTCGATTACATCTTCATATTTCGTAGCTTTAAATTGAAAGTCTTTAATGCAATTATCGACTTCTTTGTTTCCACTTGTCCATCCTTGTGTTGTCTTCTGAGGATCACATGTTTGACACCAAGATGGCGATGTGTTATATCACTTGCAATTTACACATTTTCCATTCAATTTAACTCTCTTAGATTCAAACTCATCAAATACTAGCATATATTCATTTGTGAATGTAATTTTAGTTAGTCCATATACTTTAAGCACATTATTCTTTAACTGTATATAATCTACAAACTTAATATTTAAGTATAATTAAAATAAAGCTATTCATATCTTGTGCAACATCAATATTTAATATTTCAACTTACTTCTTTTAACTTATCAAATAAATTTTGTGAACTAGTTAATCTTTTAAGTTCCACTTTATATGATCGCATACGTGACTGTGTATATCTATATTTATTTTCATCAACATATTTTACTCCATCTAACCAAGTTGCTAAAAATTAAATATTGATGTTGCACAAGATATGAATAGCTTTATTTTAATTATACTTAAATATTAAGTTTGTAGAT